TGTGTGTGTGTGTGTGTGTGTGTGTGTGTGTGTGTGGCGTGTGGCCCAAGCCCTGGCGTAAAACCAATACCTCTAAGGACTTAGTTGGCGAGCCTTGTTTTCATCTACAAAGCTGTTTCACACACATGCATCCCGCATTAAAAACAGAAAAACATGGGGGCAAGGTCTTGTCCCCAAGAACGCCTATCAGCACAGCCTGTGTATACACGCCTGCGTGTTCTTCTCCATCAGTGTAGTGGCTGATTTTTCCAACTCATAATCCTTTACAAAATCCATTTTACGCACACTTTGGCCGTGGGTAAAACTGTTATTTGATCACAGAATGAACGGAGTGAACATATGAGTCACAAGAGTTTTATGCTTTCAAAGATCACATAAACCGAAATCTGCAACATTTGCTGTTCGGTGTGATTTCATTAGCCTTTCAGCTAACGTATTATCAAAATAGTTCAAGTAAATTTGAAAATGCAAAATAGAAGTGGTAAAATAGCGCGCACAGGTTTTCCGTCTTATTTTCCTAAAGTTCAGCATATAACCCACATACACACAGATTTAAAATCACTGTATGAATTTAGTCTCTTTGTGTTTATTACCAACCACCTCTCCCCACAGTAAACCAAGTAGTAATTACCATTCTTACTTTGCGCGTCATCATTATGCACAAAATGAAACGCATATATGTGGGGATACTGGCACATACAAAGACAATTCTAATCTTGAGTCATCTGTGAGGTAATAACTATCGAACGTCCCGAACCGGCGACGACAGGGACTCCCCGAGTCTCTCTGAGTCCTAATTGTCGCTGGCAAATACACCGGAGCTTGGCGGCACTCCGCCAGCGCATTAATACCCTAGAACTACATAGTGAGTGACAAGGTAATTATACCCCCCACCTCCACACCCTCCCCCGCTCTCTCTCCCTTTCTCTGTTTCTCTCTCTCTCTCTAACACACACACACACACACACACACACACACACACACACACACACACACTTTACCAACTCCTCTCCCCACTTAGCCCCCACTTGCAGACGGCCGTCACTACTTACTGTGCTGTGAGTCCAAGCTCTTTCTCTCCGGCGTCCACAGAGCAAAGCAGAGCGGAGATCAACGGTCTCCGAGTGTATTGTGAACCGGAGCTGGAGTAGCGGCCAGTAGTAGTGGCCTGCTCTCTCTCACACACATACTCCCTCTCTCCCTTTCTCTGTCTACTTTACTGACCTCTTTAGGATCCCCGCGAAGCAGTTAAACCGTCACTTGCTTTGGAGAATGCGAAATATATAGTACATTGTCAACTCCCCAAAACCATAAAACTAAGCTTATGGGACCCCACGTGACTGCAAGCGAACCAGTGAGAGGTATCAGTCTGAGTCCAGGCTTGACCTTTACGATCCAACTTGGAGATAAAAACCCATATTTGTTTGACATGTAAATGTCAAAGCCGCCTTCTTTTTTTTTACAGTTTAGCCCAACGTAGAAGGAGGTTAGCTTTAAAAATATATCTCAACACACACAGAGGAGAAGCAGGAGATAGAGGCTGTGTCCAGCCCCCACCCCCACCCCAGCAGCAACTCAGAAGGAAAGCCTTGTAGGAGTAGGGAAACGGCAGCACCATGAGCCGGTGAGTTTAAAAGTTCAGTCGCTTGTTTACAGGAGAGGAAACTTAATTTGCCCGGGAGTAGCCTTCGTTCGGGCGGAAAGGAGAAAAAGTGACCAATTTGTCCACCGCGGGTAGTTTGTTGTCTTGTCAGAGTTGGTCAGCAGAGTCGAGAACTGATTTGTGAGTGTGTGTTCTGTGCATACTTGTATTTGTAATTCTCTCTCTTCTATGTGTGTGTTGACCACTTTTGATGTTCATCACATATAAAAGAAAGAAAAAGAAACTGTCAGTAAACCCAGTGATTCTGTTTGTGTGTGTGTGTGTGTGTGTGTGTGTGTGTGTGTGTGTGTGTGTGTGTGTGTGTGTGTGTGTGTGTGTGTGTGTGTGTGTGTGTGTGTGTGTGTGTGTGTGTGTATATTGAAGAGTTAAGCCAGATCTACATAATGTAAAGTTAAACAACTTGATTTCAGCCTATATTGGAAGTCAGGTAAAAATATTAAATGGTTTGATATTGTTGGCACAATACATAATACTGCTTTAGTAAATAACCACACACGCCACTCCTAACTATTGAGGCACATTGGTACAGCACCTATGGATATGCAAAGAGAGCAATTTGGTGTTCGGTATCTTGCCAAAGAAGACTTCCGCGTGCAGTTTGGAGAAGCCACAGCCACCAGTGTTTGGCAACTGATGCCAACCAAAGCCCCAGATTTGCATAAAGATATATGATATAAATATGGTATAGATGAGGTAATATGCAAAAACGATATGTGTTCGAATCACTTCTTCAGTATGTTATACAAACACACACACACACACACACACACACACACACACACACACACACACACACACCACACACACACACACTCACACACACACACACACACACACACACACCAAAGGCCTCTTACAATCTAGATTCCCCTTAAGCTGTTTGTGGAACTGTTTCTATTATGAGCAGTTGCTTCAGTCTTTCTGTTTAATGAGTACAATGAACTTTATTGGGTTTCTTGTTTGTTTTTTTTGTTTTTGCCTTTTTACTTGAAGCTACAAACAAATACAAAAAGCTCACTGGCAGACAGGTTACAGGCCTTAATGGACGGTAGCCATTAGCCATACACACACACTCATATAAACACGAACTCGCACACTGCACCTACAAATAGCCAACTGGTCACATTTAAAAATGTCAATATATATATATCTATATACATCATTTGAGAAGCATAGAACCGATAATTACAATTATAATAACAATATAGTACAGTTCCGCTTTTTTTGAATAGTAGCTGTACACAACTTTTTGGATGGATAAACAGATACAGGCAAAGTGATTTATTTTAAGTTTCAAACTCGGACACACGTACGCGCGCACGCGCGCGCGCGCGCACACACACACACACACACACACCTTTTCTGCTTCAAATAGCGCAGAATTTAATGGTAAGACAGCGAGTATAGTGGGTTTGGGGTAGGCGAGGGTATACGTGCCTTACTGGATGTAAATAACTTACAATAAACGCTCACATGCTAACTTTTCTAGAAAGCACTTGGTCAGTTACAAAAATTCACACTTGACACATAAAACGATACGTAGACATTAAACAATAGGTAGGTAGCAATGTTGTAAGTAGGACATAAGGTAGGTAGCATATTTATCCGTGACTCCCCTCCTTTTTTAAAAGAGGACAACATAAAGAAACACTTTTTTTGTTACAAGAGCAAGTACCACAGTCATGATTCTTTTTTACGTTGCCCTAAAACACCAAAGACCGACATACCGAACAAATGAAAAGTGCTGCGCTGCTGTACAGTACTCTTAAGTGTTTCTGATTACATTTTTGGAATATTTTTTCTTCGTCTTCGTCTTTTGCTGACCTCTCTTTTGCTGTTTTCTTCAAGTTTTTTTTTATTTCTGGTTTGTTTCTTCCCTCCTCCAGGGAAGCGTGTACATGGTAGTATCATCTCTAAAGAGATGAACGAAGACAGATTCTGGTTTAAAACAAAGATATTTCTAGGGTTGGAAGGCGCTGCCAGCAGTGGCGAGGCTCATGCTTTTCAATTTGTTGTCTTTCTTCCACTTCATTCTCCGGTTCTGAAACCAGATTTTAATCTGCCGCTCCGTGAGGCAGAGTGCGTGCGCGATCTCTATCCGCCTCCGCCGCGTGAGGTACCGGTTGAAGTGGAACTCCTTCTCCAGCTCGAGAGTCTGATAGCGGGTGTACGCCGTCCGTGCCCGTTTCCCGTCGGGGCCCGTCATATCTGAGGGTGATGAGAGGACAAAGGGCTTTTAAAGATGCGCCAACACGCGACAGAAACGGGCTGTTATTGAGTCCAAAAATAGAGTGCGCAATATATAGTCAGTATTTTACAGCGCTCTAAAGTACACTCCAGTATAAGAGAACTACTTGAAAATATCAATCTAAAGTCAGGAACGCCTCTGTTAGGGTGATGTTTTCTATGAGTCAAAGGATTCTCATAGACTGGAGCCACAGGTGTTTGTTTTATTGTATCAACCTCTAACACCCCCACGCATACACAAGGAATTAAACTTACTGTTTTATCAAAATCACCGAGCGTAAAGGCAGGCCTCCAGCGAGTAAAACTGTCCATCATCCTAACCACAACCTTTCTTGACACATTTTATTTCTGCTATTTCCATTCCACAGCCTGGGTTAAAACATTTGCTTTTATCTGTCACATTACCTTTTTTTCCCTTTTTAACCACCAGTCTTCCCCATCACCTCTCTATATGCCCCATTTTTTTACACTCTTCAGGGTTTTATTGCCCCGTCCTCTACCTCACCTTTTTAATAAAGTTCCCACCCGTAATAAAGCTTCACTTTTCAAAGGAGCAAGCCGCTTCCAAAGCCTTCCTGGCCTCACTTTCTGCTTCTTTTTTCTTTCTTTGCCCGGCTCTGTCTGCAGCTTCCCAGCCCTGTTGAGTTTTTCTTCCCTTCGTCTCTCCCCTGACAGATTTATGACGCTTTTGTGGAATTTGCTAAAATAAAAAAGAGGAGACAGAAGGGGCAATTGTCCGGCGTTCCTGATTTCTAAAACACTAAAATGTAATGGGAATTTTCTACTAAGACGTTTTCGGGTGTGTACTGCTTCGATTTTTTTAGATCTTCATATCAGTATTTAAAACATGAATACATAATTTAAAATGAAAGCATAAATTTTAACCCAATGCGCACGATTAAATGGCATTCATTTGAGATTCATAATCTTGACAACTGATTTCTGACTGCCACATGAAAATATGAAATTGACGCAGTAGAAAAAAGTCTGGTAAGGTGCAGAGAAAAACGAAGAACCGTGGCTAATTGGGAATTTTCCTGCTGTTCTCGAGCATCCACTTTACACAGATCAAACCAGCAATAATTCTGCACAATCATTAATGTGCATTTTAAGAAGCCCCGATATATGTACAACAAGCACTAAACTGTTACCAGTCCCATGTGTCAACACGGAGGCTATTCTGCTGAACCAGTCATATGAATGTTATCGCCCGAAACTTCTAGGATACATGGAAAATAAGTTGTAAACACAAGAGCAATGTGTACCATGACTAATGTGTAGCTTTCTCATCCAGGGGAATATCTGTGGTGTCTGCGCCTCACTGCCAGTGTTGCCAGCGGCTGATCCCGTCGGACCGCCCTCTTGCTTATGCCCGGTCCTGGGTGGCGGATTGCTGGCGTGACTGGTGTCCCGGTTATGCTGCAAGTCCTCGGTCTCTGGTGACGCGTCATCCAGCTCGGTGAAACGCTGCACTGTGCCGCCACCGCCGGTGGAGGAGGCGGAGGACAGGTTTGGTGAGCTGAGATTACCGCTTCCTGCTTGATCCGAGCGAGGAGACGAACTCCGGGCGCCCAGTTTTGTGCTTTCGTTGCCGGGTGACAGCAGGGAGTCCGCCGCAGAGGCGAGGGAGCAGCTAGATGGTTGTCTGAACCCCCTGTCCGGGGCCGGGGAGCCGAAACCCCGCGAGTCCCCACCAACTGAGCCGCCCCCGTAGTGTCCTCCAGCGTTGGCGGTACTGTTGGTTCCCCCTCCCCGGTTAGTGACGGTCAGGTCCATGCCATTGTAGCTGTAGCCATAAGAGCCCGTCGCAGGGTGCATGGTGGCGGAGGAAGAATCCCTGTACGTCCCGCCGTTCATTGCGCCGCTGCTGCCTCCATAATTTAGCAGTTGATATTCGGGGCCATTTGGGTAGCGCCCCGAGAACGAGTTTACAAAATAAGAGCTCATTTAGGTTGTTTTAGAGACTTGCAGGTTTATAGTTGAGTACTAAGGGGCGCTTGATTTGTTAGATTTCTCTGGGTCGTTATAACGCTGGTACTTTCAACGATTTATGATGTATTAGTGAATTATGGCGTTGCACTGTACTTCGTTTTTAGCTATGTATGCGCCGTCCAAATATGGGGGTGGGGTGGTGTGTGTGTGTTGGATGGAGGGGTGTGTGTGTGTGATGGGGGAGGTGAGGGGTGAGGCGAGGGAGGAGAGAGAGACACACACGTAGTGAGGAAGGAGGAGGGGGACGGTCACGTGCTTTTGTTGACCAGTCGTAAATTCTCGCCGATGACTTTAGAGAGGTAATTTATGCTCTGAGGTTTCAAATGATAAAGATTGGGCGGGGGAAGCTTTCCCTCTCTTTCTCTCCGTCTCTCTCTCTTTATTGCTAGAGGTGTCGGGGGTGAGCTCAGAGCGCCACCTACTGCAGATATAATTTATTGCACAGAAAGAAGTGTTAAGGGAGAAAGGACACACAAGAGTCCATGACATATCCATGCTATAAAAAAACATTGTGTGTGTGTTTGTTCATCACTCAGCTCTGTTAATTGACCTTTTGCTTAGTCTCACAATTAAGAGCCGTAAGAACCGTAAAATCAAACGTTAATAATGAACACCGTGGTAAAAAAAATAGTAACTAGCCTTTCTCCACATACATCTGATAGCTGTTGATATTTATCCCGGAGTTCTACCAAAAAGCGGTCTCACCGATAAAATACACGTGTTTTTTTTGTGTTATGCAGTGTTTCGACTTGCTGCACTAATTGTTTGTACCTCAACTTCCGGCACAGGTACAAAACACCAGTAGGAAATATAGTGCAAAATATCACAAAAATTAGGCAAAAATAAACAAACAAACAAATAAATAAATACATCACAGACCAAACTAAACAGTCAACACTACAAAAAATGTTTGAGTTATGACAATTCGACTGGCCTGCGACTGTACATTCTTTCTTTCTTACTGCAAGCCTCCTTTGCAGCTGCAGACGAGGAATGTTAAACCTGATCTGTGACGTCCACACTGGATGGAAATCTGCTGATTTATGATTTGTTGATTCCCGGGTTTGGATGCATTTCAGCCGCGGGAGTGCTTGTGTGTGTCTAAGCGTTTGCGTGTTTGAAGTAGGCCTCAGTGTGCGCTCGGGTGTACACGCTTTGTTGTAACTTCGGCACAGCAGCTAGAACAGGCGACAGATGAAGAATTCCAGAGCTTTGTGTGTATGTGTGAAATGATACAAATGGATGTACTCAGTGGGGAAATGTGTGCAGTTTGCAGGCCACATTTCAGAGTGTCGGCTAAAGAAACCAGCAGTTGGAATGGGATTCATTTTGAATATTACAAAGTAGCAGGCACATTTAAAACACACGGGCAAGCACACATAACAGCAACATGGGGTTTAAAGCCACAAAAGACCCAGCTGTCACACTCCTCTCAGCAAACTGCCTTTGGTATTTATAAATCAGCACAATCGCGCTGAATTTGTTCCATGAAAGAGCTCACTGAACGAAAAACATTTAAATATTTCAATAAGGCCAGTTTGAAGACAATCATCATTCAGTTTTAGCATAGAATAAAACTATCTGTCCGTCCATCCATCCATCCATCCATCCATCCATCTCTTTTCTTTCGCTCAACCTACCTATCTCTTCAGCTGTACATGTTTTGCGTTTACTTTATGTTATATTGAATTTGTCGCATTCTGAGTAAGAATAAAGGAGGGTCAGAATTTAAGGTATGAGTCCAGATTAGAGCACATTTTGCAACCAGTGCCTGCGCACAGATGCAGTTCCTTTTATTCTAATAATCTCATTCAAAGAGCCACGCAGATTTCAATATGCTTCATTTTTGGAGATTTTGATATTTAAAATAATTATAGATTGTGGTCTAAGACAAACTCTTTCTAACTAATGTTCAGTTGTCTGAACATTAGTTCAATTTTTCTTCTTCAAAATTGAGACTTTCAGTAGAGAACAGCTTTCAGTGGAGATAGAAAGAACAAAACAACATGAAACATTTCCTCTTCGTTTTTCTCTCCTTAAAATATGTTAAACACCAAGCACGTATGTGCAATATGTAAAGACGAGCCCCCCTGATTCACAGTAAAACCATTTCCACTGTGTTTAACATAGAACATCTGCCAGCACTTAGTCATACAACTGATTCAAAATGGGAACGAAATCGCCAATCGAGTCATATCCACAACACAAAAAGAAACCAACGTACACTGAATATGTCTGTGCTGCAAAATACGCTTTAATAGATTTTCTCTTGAGGTAATTTCATTGCGAGTCTCACTATATTCTCAATTTGTCTCTCAAAGTATTAAATCCAAACATAACATAACTAAAAGTATCATTAATTAAATCATGTGAAATCTTTAGTTCTTCGCCTCGCACAGTGGCGAGGCTGGTTTTTCTAGGTGTGCTTATTAATTATTTACTACCAGCTAATGCCATCTTTGTCTTGGTAGTATTCCAACAGGATTTTTTTTTCTAAACTTAAAATGTGTATGCGTTAGATACATGCTATAATAACAGCACTTGCTTGGCATGACTTAAGACCGTCAAATAATAAATAAATAAATATCTGTTCTCTGTTATGCTTATTATGTGTGTTATTATACCCATAACTGGAAAATTCAGAAATATATCTCGAATATTCCGAATGAAAAACCGGCAAATGAAATCATTCTAAAGTAACTCTGATTTAGACCATATTTGTCTTCATGTTTTTCATGTTTCATGAGATAAGCTAATGTGCAGAATGGTGTGTGTGTGTGTGTGTGTGTGTGTGTGTGTGTGTGTGTGTGTGTGTGTGTGTGTGTGTGTGTGTGTTCGCACCCGCATCAGTGAAACTTCCAAGATGGATACAACGCGCCGGTCACTCAGGGGACAAGTAGAGTTAAAAGGTCACGAGGACATTGTCCACTTTGTCTGCGTGAAGCGTGTGTCTGTGTGTAACGTGTCTGGCTGCAGGGCTCGAGGAGAGGTCAACTTTCCCTGCCTCGCTCTGGTCATCATTTAGTTTGAGCCCGCCATCAGCAGCTCACTCTCCTCGTCGCTTTCCTTCCAGATCGTCGCGTGCGCCTGTTTGGCCGCAGCCTCGCGTTTAACACCAGTAAGAGGCTAAAAGGCTCAAGCGTGTTAAAGTTGTCCTCTAAATCATAAAATAAACCAATCTCAAATCCAGTAATGTTGAGTTTGACTAACCTTTACTGCGCGTTAATTAATGTTAGAATAAATGAAAATTCATTTCATGCCCCAAGACACACACAAACACACCCTATCCCCGTTATAAAAATAACCTTTTTCCATAAATTCCTTTACATTTTATTAAACATTTGTCATAGGTAGTATATGTGATTACTTGACAATAACACATAACCAAAACATGTAAAAATCGATAAAATATACACTTTCCTGAATGTTTTAGGTAGTTTGGCGAATATCATCAGTAGGTTAACAACCGCAACCCCACCCAAAGCTTCAACAGGTTTCCCGATATTGAAAAATTCCCCGCAACCGTAGTTACATTATTTTCACCATACAAGGCGTTTTTCCCTTGCTTATTTCTGTACAGTTTAAATATGAACACCATAAGACATACATACCTCCAATAGTTTTTCCTCCCTTCGTGTATATGCAGAGCATACTTGCACGTGTACTTAAAGGTATTAAAGGCTACACACATTTACAAATAATAAGAAACAAAATCGGGAAGGAAACAGCCGGAAGTCAAGTTCTAAAGCCCCCAAAACAAGTTATAAACCCTAAAACAAGTGCCTTGCATGATGTCTTTGAAAGAATAAAAAATAAAATGAAATAAATTAAATATGCATAGCCATAAAAAAGTACAGTAAAAAAATCGGTAGGCGGAATGCAGCAATAAATTGTGTTTCAAAACTACTTGTGGTCTTGTGTTGGTGGCCTTTAAAAAAAGTGTTCATTCATCTATTGTATTCTTTAATTTAACGCCATGTTCCTTTCCCCTGCCAGATTTTATCGTATCTGTCCCTTTCCACAGTTACATAACCCTTGCTGTAGAGTGTTTTACAAATTATTACCAAATATAAGACCACTCAAGTACAGCCTACAGAAAGAGTTGATGTAAGAGGGATAAAAATAAATCCCCCCATTCCGTTGTTTCACCACTGCTCAGGTGAGGAAAAAAAGAAAGAAAGAAAAACAACAGAGAGAGAGAGAAAAAAATGCGGGGGGGGGGGGTGCTCTTGAAAAACTTGGAGGCATGAGATTAATCAGCATGTCTTCTCTTTTATTCTGCCCTTCCTTTTACGTGTCTTACATTAGTTTATTTTTGGTCCTGTTTTACTCAGTCCGTTTCTCCTCTTCATCTGCACCGTTCGCCGTAGAGGAAGAAGAAGAGGATGTAGAAGAGGAGTTGATCAGCTTGTTCTCCTTCTTCCACTTCATCCTCCGGTTCTGGAACCATATTTTAATCTGTCGCTCCGTGAGGCACAGCGCGTGCGCAATCTCGATCCGACGTCGCCGCGTGAGGTACCGGTTGAAGTGAAACTCCTTCTCCAGCTCGAGCGTCTGGTAGCGGGTGTACGTCTGCCGACCGCGTCTCCCGGGGCTACTGAAGGTCCCTGAGAAGCAAGAGACAGATACATTTGAACCAAGATAACAACACTGAGGCGTTAACTATTCTGTTAAGAAAAAGTTACCAGAAAAGTTCATCACATGCATATTCTATTCTATTCTATTCTATTCTATTCTATTCTATTCTATTCTATTCTATTCTATTCTATTCTACAAGTTTCCACAACAGTGCCTGTTTAGTATTATCAAGGCTATTTGCCCCCCGCTTAAATTGAGAATTAGTAATGTTCACATTAAAGAACAATGCAGACGATGGCTGCCATCTAACAATGTGCGCCATCCCTTAAGGACACTGTTTTAATGTGAATTTAACATTGTTTTACTAAAATGTTTACTTACTCTGACTGCGAAGCCGCGGATTATTTTTGGCTTTGTGAAAAGTGAAAACTTGGATTTCTTATTTTGTTTAATTAAAAACAATAACAATCATTCTACAGGAAAGTTGAATGTCATGGTTTATGAAACACGGAGAATAACTATGTTATATAATGTTGCTGATGGTAAGTAGCAGGAAATTCAGAAAAAAAAAATTCCCGTTGTGGTGTGTATACACCGATCTTCACTAATAAGGCAATTAAGGCAACTTCAGTTTATGTATTGATTTGAAAGTAAGAGCATGGATTGCATGCCACAAGCTATTCATATCTAAATCCAAATGACCATAAATAACTCTGCCCTCTCTCTGGCTACTATTTGCACCTTTAACTGTCATTTATAACGCGCTCTTTGTTTTCCTCCATATATATTTATTTGCGGCGAAGTATGTTACCACCTCATCTGTCATAACTCGGAGTGTCCTGCAGGGCTTTACAAAACACTAGCTCTGCATCATCTGCTATTACTCATTCTACCTTCAACAGGCCGTTTTTCTCTCTTAAGGATGGTTTGCAGCACAGGACAGTGTTTAACACTTTAGGTTAAATCATGCAAGAGTGCAAAAGCACAAACTTTTAGGAGAGCCGGCTAAATGAAACTATTTCACATTATTTCCGCCACGGTTTGCCTCACTTTCACTTTAAACTTTAGGCTATATCTATATACGATTTGAATCAACAGTGAATAACACTGTCTACGCTGCGGAGGCTCAATAAACGATAAGATAGAAAAGGTCAAAACCAATAATAGCAACAGGAAATGTGATATATCTTTATCAGCACAGAAAAGAAACGTTAGCAAAAACAAAACAGTGTTTATCGCATCCTATTGGTCATGTCTCAAAGCAGAGTATGTCTGAGAGGAAAAGCGTTTTCAAAAATAAAAGAGATGAACTATTCAGACACATTTGAATAAACGAATGACTAATAGTGTGGATATTTGGACTTATCTCTGTATTTCCTCTATATCTACATCATTAATTTTTTATCTGCTCCTTGTTTTCCCCCACACTTTGCTTTACTTGGTAGCATCGTCACGGGTCACACAGGCTACAGTAAAAGGACCCGCAATGCAAACAAACCCGTTTTATGACGGACAATAAAATACAGCGCACATGACGGACTGACAGGTCAACAAACGGGGATCATAAAGCAGCTTCTGTGGCAGGAGGAGGGAAAAAGGAAAGGAAATCTAACAGAGGCTGACAGAGGAAACAAACGTCATTTTTATGACTGGGATCATAAAATATGCAAGAAAGAGAGGAAGAGGAAGAAGAAGACACTCACCGTTGCAGGCGTTCATCCGCTGCATCCATGGATAAATGGGCACTGACGCCGACTGTTTGTCTTCCATCGTTTCTCCGAAAAGCCCCTTTGCACTGAGCCCTACGCACTCTGTTTTACGCTGCACGCCGTCCTGACTGAGCGCGAGCTGATGCTCCTCCAGAGCGCACGGGTGTTCCTTATCCCTGTAGAAACTCGTGGCTGCAGCTGCGGCCGCCGCTGCCGCCGCTGCCGTGGCGTAGTCGCAGGCACCGGTTCCGGTCGCGCCCCCAACACCGACCCCCGCCGCTGCTGCTGTCGCCCGGTGTCCGGTATATGCTCCATTGGCCGCCTGCTGGTAGTAGGTGGATGCCGGGTACGGTTTGTCCTGGTGTGCGCCGGGTCCGCCGGTGCTGTATGCCACGGCTGCGGTAACGGCTGCTGCCCCCGGGTAGTGCCTAAGCGGGTGGTCGGCGGCGTATCCCGATGAGTAGAGAGGTATCTGACCCAAAAACGACTCTGCTGCCGCCGCCTGCCCGCTTCCACCCGTCCCCGGTAGCGTCACCGGGAAAGAGGAGTTGACAAAATAGGAATTCATCAGGAGAAAGAAGAAAAAGAGGAGAAGCCGGAAAAGAGGAGAAGAGGAGAGGGGAGGACAGGAGGGGACGAAACAAACACAATAACAACGTTCACTCGATGAAGAAGGAGAAGGAGGAGGAGTAGGCAGAGGCTAACGGCTAGCAGCTAACGGTTCTCCCTCCCGTCCTGCTTCCTCTGCCTTCCCCTGCCTGCACTTTATGATTTGTTGTGTTTTATAGCCGACAGTCCGACGGGCTGCCGCTATCACTTAGTGTATCGCAGATTGGGAGGAGGGGGGGTTGTATTAGGTGGGCTGAGTGCCAGTGTGGGACGGAGGGGCGTGTGGAGGGTGGGGGGCAACAGAGAGAACCTCTCCGTGTGTGTATGCGATCGGAGAACACGGGACGGGGCGAGAAGGGGTATCGGGTGGGGGGTTGGGGGGCAGACACCAGCTGACCTCGAACTGACCAATGGGACGCGTCTGTGCCTGGCATTCGTTCGCTGTTTTCCTTTCGTAGGAGAGGAAGAAGAAGAGGAAGAGGAGGAGGTCTGGGAACTACCGAATACACCCCCACCACCACACACAAACACGCTCTCTTCCTTTCTTTCCTTTTTAATTCGTATCTAATCTCTCTTTCTAATCTTCCTTCTGTTCCCGGTGACATTGCGCAATCACACCGGAATCCTCGACGCGTTAAATTGATTCTTTTCTCTCCCCGTGTGTCTTCCTCCGTCTGTTGTTGGACCCATAAAAAACAGCAGTTCTCACACGTATGCGCGTTTTCCCCTTGGGGTTGGGAGAGAAGGCAACCGAATAATAAAATATGTTTCCCGGCGCTTTGGAGATAATACCGACCGCATTAAAATGAATTTGTGGAGCGTAAATCACAGCCGGGAACGTGCGCGCGTCTTGTGTGTGGTGCAGTGTGTGTGATGCTAGTATTAG